AACCTAAAACTTTATGATTCTGAGCAATGTACAGACAAAACTCTAATTTTATTTATATAGATAGATAATTCCTTATTGGCGTTACTACTTATACGAGCTAAATTAATAATTTACAACTTTTTACAGTATAGATATCGTTTCTTTAATATTTAAAAACACTATTTATAAGGTACAACAATATTTCTAAGGTCTATAACAGCTGATGTTATTGTTGTTAATGAATTATTGTGAGTAAAAATTAAACGATTTTTATTTTATTTGAAGAGGATTGACATAAAAATTTGTTAATTTAAATGAAATAATTAGTATTTTTGAAACTTCAAGATTGAAATTTGAAATTTCAAAAATAAAGAGAAATTGGGATACAGAATAAGGGATATGAAGGTAAATCATGTAGCCTATATCAAAATGTTTTTCAAAAATGTTGTAAGTTTTCCTTACACATTATTAACCACATTATTATACCGGGAAAGAGTTCACCCAAAACTGTCATAGTGCTACACAGTATTTAAAATTAATCAAATTCAAAATAGTGGTTTCCTCCACTACTTACCTGATTTAAAAGCCATAAACGTTTCTATATAGGCGATGATAGTTTAATTTTGTTTCTAAAACTGTTAGGGGATGTGTAACTATTTTATACGACAAATGTAAAGATCATAATGGTTCTATTTAGTGTCCTCTTCCCGTTACAAACAACGGGTACAACAGCTAGTACATAAATAAATTATAATAAATGTAAGGTTTTTTATTATGAAAAATCTATTAAGCATTTACTAGCTGTTACCCACGGGTTGACCCCATTTGACTTCATAAGTAAAAGTATTGGTTGGTTTTGTTTAGCTGAAATAAACAAAAAAGGATACAGTAATACAAAATAAAAATCACACATGATTTTTAAGGGGCGTGACTTGTAGATTTCTCAAAAGTTCATGGGTACTTTGGGACTTATTTATGGATACATGTTAGTGGATTATTTATTGCAAGGCTATTCTGACTTACATTATTTTAAGTATTTGTAATCATTGATTTGTTTTGTTGTTTATACTTTTTTGGAATATTGTGAAACAATACAAAATTGTTTGTTATTGTATATGCTCGTAAATACTAATTTATTATTACTCACAGTTGCGTATTTTATAAGTACGCACAGGACCTACAAGTATTTTTACACAGGGGATACTCGTAATAATAATTAAATTTCAACTAATTGTTCTTGATCAAGGACAAACGACTGAGTTTTCGGTTGTTAGGTTGGCATCTCTGAGCCAAAGTTTGCCAAACTCGTGTCTGACACAAATTAAACCAGTCATTTGGCAAGACCCTCATCCAACGGGATTAAAAGATCAGTCGAGGTGGATTGTAAAGCTTTTAGAAACTTTTAGAGTCAATAAATCTGAGACAGAGTTTTACAATCAATTGCATTTGTCCTACTTGATACTGCGACTTACCTAGATCGCCAAATATTCAATTAAACACTTAGGCGAGCCAACCTATTACTGGATAAGTAAATAGTATGTATACATACTATAGTTAGATTATGCTTAACAGTTTGAGATTTGTAGTAATATATTTTTATATCTGTGTGTATTTTTATTTCTACCGGTTGGACGGATATGTAAAATGACATAAGAATTTTCCTATAAAAACGTATTTAATTTATGACCTATTTAAAATTATTTTGTCGTGAATACACAAATATATAGTTCTAAAATAGTCTGCTAGAACACGAATAATATTTACGGGTTATTGACAGATGGTTTTGCTTTCATAACTAAAATCCTATTCTTAACAATATATGTACTCTCAAAATAATAATTCCTACAGCATTTTTAACTCATTTTACTGCTATACAATATAGCTATAATCATAACTAGTTTAATCATGATTATGCCTACACCCAGCTTAGCAAAACGTTGTAAGTAGTTACGCACATATAATAACAGAATGTTGTAATATTCACTATCTTAGTAACATTCAGGTAGGATTTCACTACGCACACCTTACACATGTTAGTCAAAACATGAGTACAAACCAAGTATTTTCCTAATTCTACTATTATCATAATTTTTAAACATTTTTTAATTTATTACCATGCAATACAAGTACCGGTATGTATTATTTAAATTTCATTAAATATAAACTACTGGTGTATCTGATCAAACAAACAAATTTCAAGCAAATAAAATCAAGTTAATCTCACTCCTACCACAGGTTAGCGTATTCAATCTCCTAATAACACTTAATTACGTTACAAAATACACACATGTTAGTATGAACACGATGCTAAGTCTACTCACTTCCTAACTCCACCTTCTTTATAGAAGTCCTTGTAAAGACCGAACCCATCATGGCCAATGATCCCCATGAACTCTATAGTCAACTTGTACTCATGGTCCACCCTGAGAGTTTTGTTGAGCGACAGATGACACTGCTGCAGAAACTCATCTTCTTCCACACCCAGGACCGCCACTTCTTCGCCTTCAGTAGTGTCTGTCAGTTTAGTCGTATTGAACAGAAGGTTGCTGCAGTGCAGCACTATGACGGAAGTCTCAGCAACAGCAACCCCACTGATGACCACAACGCCGTGGAACACTCCCCTGATGATGTCCGGGTTCAGGGAGAGTTCGTAGCTCTCAGGGGTCAAAGAGTGCGGTAAGAGGGAAGAACGTTTCCCAACAGGTGTGGACAGGCAGAGCCATCCAGTGGCGAAAAGAAGAACCACCGCTTCCAACCACCACTTTTGCACCCTCATTGTTGGTGGTGGGTCTTTGTTTGTTTTACATGTTTAAACACAAGCTGAAATTTCGTTTTGCATTTTAGTTTTCAGAGCCACGTATTTTTGGCATATTGATGATGATTCCTCACTCCTGGAAACCTCTAAAATTTAATCTTTCTTACTGTAAACAAAACACAAAATTACATATTACGAGTTGGGACAAGTCTTGGCAGGTGCTAAGGTTATTCTATTTATATATAGCCTATGTATGTATATATATTTTCATATTAGAATCAAGAATCAATGGTCTGGAACAAAAAAAAAAAAAACCAATTACTTTCTCATAAATAGGGATTTTGACCTCTAAAAATTAGTTTTAGTAAACACGGAAGTAGTGAGGAAGAGTAAGTAGCTCAAAAACGTGTACCGTTTATAAATTCAAAGTTTACCGAAAGCAGCATCTCATGATGGATATTCTCGACGAATGACACTACCTAACTATCTAGCTACCGGAGTTATAAATAACCCTGGCTTGACGTCAGAACTAGACAGTCTGCTTCTTTGTTGTCTGCGGTCTGTTTACAAAATACATACGAGACTGTTTTTACTTTATTTTGGTTGCCATCAGCAACGTCATAACGTCTTGAAAATATAATCGCTTGAATCCAGGATCAACGTTACTTTACAGATGTTAACAAAATATTCTTAGACATCTCGTCGTCTCCAGTTTTAATTCATTTTCTACTTTTACTAGAATTAGAGTTATGATTAACGTGGTAATAATTTTCCTTGTCAATCTTTAGCTGTAAAATTATAATTTTTTTTAATGTGTCAGTGTGTGTGGTAGTACGATTGACAGTAAATACTTAGTTATGCCATAAATTAAATTTGCCTATAGTTGAAATACATTTGAACTCAGGTAGATCTTATATTATTATCTTATATTAGTTAAACTGTTTGTTTATCGTTTAAGTTCAAATATAAGCGTAGCTCGTATTTTAGTTGGGAATCAACATTACAGCAACGACATAAATCGCAGCTTAAGTGTTTCGGTAAACTTTTACCAATAGTAAATGTCCCAAGTTCAATAATGGAACCATTATACGGCGAAGTTATGGAACAATAGCGCTTTAACTGCTGTACTCCAAGAAAGGTATAATGGAATGAAAAAAATAGGTATAATTAAATAAGTTTTTAAAGTTTATAAATATAGACACTCGGTTTTATAGTTGTTATCTGTGTATAATTTCCAAAGACATTCGACTCATTTAACTGATTATCATAGTAAAATTAAATGGTATTTAAGTATATGTGCACAACGCTCTATGTCACTAACGTCTAACACGCACTAACGCACTAACGTCTATGTCTCTATGTCTATTATTTATATAAAATCATATTTCATTCATATATACAAGTTTAAAGTTCTTTTCAAATTCATACCATTCTTTTCAAACAGTTTGTCATGTGTTTTAAGTTCCTCTTGTTTGGCTTTAAAATATTTCCACCAGTATATTTATTAGACTGATTAGAGTATGAAACGAACAATGATTAGAGTAAAAACTAAAACAAATTCACTTAACAACGTGTTTTAATTTGGTTTTATATTTGTTTTACTAACGAATTTGTCTCTCTCTACTAGAAGTCCACTAAACAATACACGTATCCTTCTCAATTTGTTATCATTATTTGGAGAAGGTAAGGAGAATTAGTTTGAATTTAATCCTGAAAGTACACAATACCTAGAAGGTCGGCAGTAACCTGACCCAAATCAACTGACCCTCAAGCCTAATTGCAGGACTGCAACTACTATTGGGTGGATGGGAAAGTCAAACAATTTCTCTTCCAATTTACCTTTGAATATCGATCGCTTCGTTAGTGCTTCTGCGAGTTATTCGTTTGATCCACTTATAAGTCTTAATTCAGTCCCTCGTCAGAATATTTGCTCTTGAACGGCTAAGTAAGGACCAATATCTAACTATTTTCGTATGAGATATAAATAGCAGGTGGAATTTAAATTTTCTACTGAGTACAGTAGAGTAGAGTTACACTATAAATCTAAACGTTGCTAGACATTATTACTTTTTGTCAACTGAGCTCACTATCGTTCGTTGTTAAAAACGAAGGCTTACCTTACAATCCGATTTATTTTATAGTTGAGTCCTAGGTTTCTAAGTCGAAACGTTGTCATCAGTTGTTTTGTTTCATAGTTGTTTTTATTTGTATCCTTGTAGATATTGTGTTCAATGTTTGTAAAAATTATACCAAATCAACAATATCTCACTCAAGTAAAAGATGGGAGAATACAAGTTTAGCTAAAATAAGACAAAAGGATTGACGATAACGTTTCGACGTAGAAACCTAGGCGTTTAACGATCTTCAAAAATAAGCCACAGGCTATATCTCCAAAAATTGTACATTTTAGGATTGAACTGTCATACTTCAAATATGTTGATCTTTCAACATAAGGAAACCAAAATTTGTAATGTTACCTTTATATCGTTAGCAAAAATATAACCTTTCACATATTATGTAAATCAAATATATTTTCAGAGGAAAAACGACTTGTAAAAACGTTATCTGTGTGATTACGTGAAAGCATATTTAATTAGCCTATATAGGTGGGTTATATTTCCATGCAATAAAGTGTAGCCTGGCTAATTTGATACCATAGGTACTTAACATAGGGTGTTAGAATATACGGGATATCTTTCATTGCCCATGATTTTCGTCAATATACAAAACTACTATAAAAATAGTCAATGATAGTTATAGTGACTTCCACTCTATACTGATTTGTTACAGTAGGAAACATTTAACTAAGTTATAATCGTTGAATTAATTGATGCTAATCTATTGCCTTAAGTTGGTAGTTTGGTAGCCCTTGTTGTACAGATCAATCTTAACATAGTTTTTTTTTTTTTAAGTGGAGAGCGGAAATAGAGGAGGCCGTTAGAAAATGTGAGTAGATTTATTGTAAAAAGTTGTCATTATAATTATCCGAGCACATCCATTGTAAAATATCATTTATATCAACCAGAAGTATCAAATGTAAACAGAACACAACAATGATTTAGTTTATCTGCAAGACAATAGTATTTTCAATAACTTGCCAATCATAACCTCTTGCCTCGTGTTAAACAATTGTATTTACCTTATTCAGTATTTTAGTTAATTTAGTATACCGATATGTAACTCAGACAATTTATTTTGTATTTCAGAACGAAGATCCTCCTTTTCTTCCCTGAGTATAGAGCGCTTTCCATATGATTGTGTATATGAATGTTCAGGTATCTCTAGCCTAAGAATTTATTATTGTATAATGGATAATCGTTATTATAGGCTGGTTAACGCGAATGAAAAATAAATAATTACTTGGTGATTTAATCAGACTCTATTATTTCCACAGATCTTGGCTCTGGTCACTAAAACAAAAACTAGGCCTAACCTAAATTAAAAATTAGGGTAATAGGTCAGTATAACTCCAAGTACGTTTCAAATAAAATAAAATATATAAGAATTTTTACGAAAATGTTACAACTATGGTAGCACAGAATATAGAAAATATTACATCGTGTATTCTGTTTGTGTATACAAAAAAAGTAAGCAAAATGTTCAAAAACCTTATAGTAATTGAATAAGAATGATGAAAGTCAACATTTTGCTACTATCTCAGAAAATATACTTGTATTTTCAAAAGCTACAATATTTAAATGCCATTCATACAACTAGCGCGTGAGCGAAAAAAAAAACTCAATTAAAACGAATGAATCAAATGAAGGATATTGGGAATCACATTTGATCCTACAGGATTATTTTCCAAGTCGTAAAAGCCGAATGGATGTCCATAAATATAAATAAAAACTCGAACATTTAATCCTGCAAAGCCCTGTCACATGCGGTTTATGTCATTGGACAGTTTCGTTCCCGATTAAATGAAAACCTACGAGATTTGTAAAGGGATCTTTCTGTATCTTGTCTGTCTGATTCACTTTATGTTTATAGTCACACGAAATAAATGTCACAAAGCTTTGGTAAAGTGTTTTTCACACACATTATTTTTAACACTGTATTTGTTTTGTTTTGTTAACCTGTCATCGACCTTTGTGTATATTTTAAATTAAGTTTTTTTATTGTTCTATTAGGCTCTTACTTTTATTTGCCATTCTTTTATATCACACCTGATATTTTAGTGTTACCTTTTATAACGAACAAAAGAACAAACTTGGTTAAAATATCTTGTTCGTGTAACGATAGTAACTACTGAGGAGTTAAATATATTAAGAATCATTTCTGTGGTGCAAATAAAAATGAACGTTGTTGAAATCGTTTGAATGTACAACGGTACAACTAATTTACATTAACTTTAGTTAAAGACTTCACTCACTCACTCACTCCACAAATAATAACGTCCTTTTCATTAAAACATGTATTTTCACCTTAATATTTTAAATATTGACAAAAAGAGTATAATTTGCATATAAGATTATTATGCAATTTATACAAGTGTAAATGTAATAATAATTAGTAATTGTTTTACAGTAATAGAATTCTCAAAGGACAAAATATATATTTAAATAATGGCGCATAAATTACGGTCAGAATGGAGCTAAAACTTATAGACAAGTACACGATTTAAATTTAAAATACAAAATGACTTTGATATATAAGGATACAAAATTGGGTCACCATTATGTAACTTTCACAATCAAAATCAAATATACTGTTTTAAATCGTAATAAGTATTTTTTTAATAACTGTATTAACATTCCTGTACACACACATTCCTGTAAAACTTTTTAAACAATTGTTTGGCAATTTCAATATTCAATCTATATTCAAATGAAAATACCTCTCAAACGTTTCCCATTTAGTTTTATGCTTGACCTCAATTGAAACAAGCCACATATAATACCAAACGTGTTATATGACGATTTATACTCTACATTAACTGCATCATATAGTTCATTAACTCCGTAATTAACTTAATGTATAGGCTACTTTGCATATGATTCAACTTTATTTTAAAATTAAAATATAAAACGAAATGATTCCAAAATATTGTAACTTAATTAGATTTATTATTGTATGTCAGTACAAGGAAATTTTTAAGTACCGTTTAACATGTTTTAATATATCCCTAAGGAGCCTCGTATTAGCGCATAACCTAAAATCAAAATGGTTAACTACTTTCCTGTATACAATTAACACGAAACCTCAATAGGGTGAGTGCACCAGTGAATGACCGTGTCATATACAAAAGAACATCATACTAATTACAAATAAAATACTCTACTCATTTTATGATCAACATCCTTGCCAACAGTTATTTAAACAAGCCATTTACTGAATAACACCTACTGGCACAATCAGTGGATTGCCGTTTCGTATAAAATCCTCATACAATTCTCTACTCATTTAATGAATACCATCTTAGCCAACAATTTTCTAAAACAATTGGCCATTTAATGTATCACACCTTTGTGTACAACCAGTGAATGACTGTTTCGGCTATTAACTAGATTTGGATGAATTTTCTTTCATAGTGTTTGAAACGGTGTCTTTGATGGATTAAGTGTCCTATGTATAAAAAAATCTCATCGGAAATCCCATCGAAACACTATAACAAGAATTTGACCACGGGTTAAAACTAAAAGGTTGAGGTAATTTACTAGATGAACCGTAGTCATTAACTAGAATCTATATCTTAACGATCCTGAAATGGCTATTTTCATTCACAGAAGGAGAGGTTTACTACAATATTTTAAAATGCTATACAAAATTGCCGATATTCACTGGTATATGATTTTCATTGGTGGTGGTTTTACATGCAATATATTTGTTTCAACACTATGTCAGACCATAATTCATTAAGTTTATTCATTAAGAAGTACAAGGGAATACGGAAAATATGTATAAACCATTCGCTACACTATAGCTTGATAACCTATTTTCCCATGTCAAATTCAAGTAGAAATTTAAGCTAAATGGTCATTCAATAGTGCTCCCACTTTAACACATCCCTCTAGGCCTATTTACTTCAAGAAAACCCCGATCAACCAAACCCAAACTCTAGCCTGCGATTTTTCACTATAAACACCTACCAACCTAACAACTCTGTCACCAATCACCAAACACCAATTCACAACACGGCAGTACGACTGATGAATAACACACTACACGCACCTACAGCTTCCACTGCCGCAGCATTGGCAAGGGACATTCAGGTATTTCGGTCTTTGGCGACTGTCCACTTCGCTCTACCTTTGTAATGAGTTTAGAAATAGATGTTATGCTTGTTGAGATAGACGTTGCTTTTGAAGTGATGTATTATTGCCTTTCAACTTCTAATCTTCTTGTTGGAAATAGCTGGTGGGATGCTACTTCCCGGTTGATTTAAGAATATTCATGGGCGTCTTTTATGATAATATGTGCTTATTACATCGGAATAAAAATCCGTGTTTATTCAGTACCTTACTTATTTTATAATTTTGCATTTTCATTTTTTTTGTAACAGTTACTCAGGTAGAACTAATTGCAATACTAAAAGGATGGCTAGAAAAAAACTATGGTAAAATATAAATTAAAGATTGTAAAATTGTAATTGTCTTTACATGTAGACGATCATCGATAAATAGTAACTTTCTTTTAAATGTTCAACAGTTTGGGACCAATTTTTGAGGACTGTTAGGTTTGAAGCGAGGTTTCAGTTTTTGTGATTTTCTTAACTTATTTTTTACGTGTCCTTGGCTCTAAGGACACGTTGATGTTGGACTTTACACCAAAGGACTTCTGAATACGTTTACACAATCTATTGCTCTTAGACTTAAAATTATGAGTTGTATGGAACTTGTTTTAAGTTAGGTAACAATAATCATGGTAATAAAGATATGAGATAGCTTTGTTTGTTAGTTAATGATGCAATATGACGAAAAATATAGTTCACCACACGGGCAAAAAGTGACTTTTAACCCTCGCTCCTTTTCCGTTCTCGGCTTCTCATCGACCGTAACACTTGACCTCGGGTCAAAAATAGTCACTTTAGGCCCTATTGAAGTAATATACTATTTCAAATAGATCATTTAAATCAAATCATTAGTATAAAGGCTATGTATTAGTTAAATATTTAATTTAAACCAACATGAAGTAAAAGAAAAATATTTACTGATGTATATATTTTATATAGGATATTTTGAGTAGACTTATACACCTGTTATAAAATCTAAATCAGCTTTATTATTGGTTCATATCGGTAAAAATAAAAATTACGTGCGAATATTATGAGAAAACCACAGAACGTATTTTAGAGTGTGCAATTATGCTACCATCTAGCAACAAAAAAGGAGGGCAAGGCAACATTATTATTACGGCCATGATATTAGTTTGTAATTACAAAGTAATGAATAGTAAATTAATACATCCAAATGTTACTGCACATGAAAATATACCATGTGTTAAGTAGGTTAAAGATTATTAATCTGTAGGTAAATTAATTTAATCCGTGCTAAAATACAGTGAACATGTGTAACTGTCATGTAAAGTTGATTTGATTTCTTTTGACAATGAATGACATGAAATAAACTTTTTAATTAAAAATAAAAATACTGACATCATCGCAATGCATTGTACACTGTGTAACCCGTATTAAAATCCAAGAATGGAAAAATAAACATAACACAACATTTGTAAACCACAAAACGTATTCACGTGGTATTAATGTTTTCATATCGAACCGCAGTGTAAAAAAAGAACGAGAAATATATTGTAGGAAAAACAAAGTTACACCAGATTGTCGCCTCGTGTTTCGTCTGCAAACAAGTCCTGCTGTCCTGATCCGATTATATGATTGGTCCGTGTTTTCTCTCTGACAAATATTTTAGCCAATCTGGTGTAGCCTACTAGTGTGTGTTTAAAAACCTTAATATTATTTGCAAATATGAGCAGTAAGAAGTTTTACTTTACCTAAACACATGCATGTTTCATTAATGTTCAAAGTATATGTTGGTTTAACTTTAAAGCTGATTAGAATAACGTAACAAGGTTTACAAAAAAAAATACTTTATTAAAGGACGGATTCCACTTTACACGTGTGTTAACACACATTTACACATTAATAGACAAACATATTTTGACAGGATATAATTTACAACATAATAGTTTGCAATAAACCCCTAAATTGGCCAAAAACAAAACTTACTTTAAACTAAAAGTATCAGGCTAGGGCCACACTTGGCGACTTTTTTCCGCGACTTTGTCGCGACGACAAAGTCACTGGGGGTGGCCACAATAGGCGACAATTTCGACCTTTCAGTTTACTTTTTTACCATACCAGTAAAAATAGAGTTTCGAAATGTTATATTGTATTTTCAAAATCGTGTCATTGATTATGGAAATAAATTAGGATCTATGGCCGTTTTTGTATGTTTTTGACAACCTTAGAATAAATCGATGTTTTTACTATTAATTGCAGTGCCAAAAGATTTAAGTGAATCTTCTACAACTTAAATCATATCGATATAGTATTTTCATACGTGCACCGGCGCCTCTTTATATTTCGTACTAGGTCACGTAATAGTATTTAACCATTTGTCTGCAACAAAAGAAATACAATTTTTACTAAATTAATGTGTTAAACTATGTTTTGAAAACCAATGTGGACGTCTACGTCGTCAAATCACAGTTTAATACTTGATATTGCTATTTATTTTATATCTAAATACCCCGCCGCAACAAACCTGCATACTAAGCGAATTTACATTTGTTTGGCTAGATTTCCACTAAAATATTCTCTTTAAACTTGTTGGATTTATTTCCTATTTAAATAAGATGAATTTAAATGAATGCTTAGGTTTACTGTGACAAATAAGGTAACCTAATGAGGTGTGCTTGTTAATTTAAATTTTGATGGCTTAGTATGAAATTAAAAATACTCACTAAAATATTGTTATAATTTATGAAAATATATCCATAAACAAGCAAACTAAAACAGTTTATTCTTCATCAAAATGGGCATTTTAAATTTACAATTGTTTAAATTATCTCCGTAACCGTTAGGTTTACAACAACGCTTCAATTAACAAAATTATTTTTTTAGCTCAACAAAACAGTTTTGGAAGGAAATTGTGAAATTTATGTTTAAGGGTCAAAAATAAGAAAAAAAATTATACCCCATTAAAGCCCCTTAAACCTCCCATTTCCATGGTCCGATCATTTTGATTTGCGAGCTCGCTTGAATTAACGTTGGTTTTAACATTTGTACCAAATTCCACTAAAATCTCATCATTTTTGCTCAAGTTATCGCGCTAATTAGCACATAGACCTAAATGTATACACTGTATATGTAAACACATACATATGTACTTATATATACGTAAATATGAATTTGAACAGTGGGTGTTTTTGCCTCTGGGGACCTCAAAACGAAAAATCAAATCGGTCTCGGGTTTAGGTCTTACCATGCAACCTAAGGTAATAGCTTATTCCCTATAGCGAAAATTCGCTACAAGGAAGAGAAAACACAGGTATGGAGTAAATTCCCTAAAACTATCGTTTATGGATGGCGTATTTTAACTTTGTAAATTTTTAATATTTTGAATGATCATAGCTTTGGTGAGCTATTGACATTGAAGACGACGCACAACATTTGAAAAATACACGAGGTTTAGGATTCCTGTTACATCAGAATAGTTAAATCTCATATATTATACAGCACACATGTTAACATGTCAACACTTATTTTGTCGATGACAATATTGGTATTTCAAAAGCATATTTACCTTTTAACAAATCCAGTCCATAACTGTACAATATAGATATGAAAATAGAGCAGCAAAGGGTGTGTGAGCGAGCGACTTGTCGCCTAGTATGGCCGGTGCCATAAGATAACATGGGGAGCGTATTTGACGCCGACGCTGAAAAACGCCCCCGGTCGCGTATTTGACGCCGAGGCTGAAAAACGCCCCCGGTCGCGTTTGTTTTTCTGTCGCCGGTGGTCGCTGGTCGCGAGTCGCTTAGTGTGGCCGCCTCCATTTAATTTAATGCTACGCACTTTCATTCATTGACGCAGCGACTTTGTCGCCGCGACAAAGTCGCCAAGTGTGGCCCTAGCCTTACTTTAGTAAAAAACACAGATTTTTATAATTATCTGGTTTGTTATTTCGAATGGGTATCCTCCGGATTATCAAGATACAATTAAAGTGGTTTAAATATATGTTGACAATCCAAGTGGTTGTGAAACAACTAGTTTAGGCTCACAATGGAGCTTTCTTCAGGTTTGGGACATTGTCTTAAAGGACGTTGTCACGTCTACCAAAGGTCGTCAAAGTACATAAATATTTAAAAACCATAAAAAAACATTTAGCCTAAAACACAGCAATACCAACACACATGACGTGGCCGGCGGGAGTTTAGTCTAGAAGTAAAGATGGCCCATCATGTGGCACCTCATTATAAGACCCTTATAAAAGAATATTACTGTAACGAAATTTAAAGGTCTCTATATCAAACCAATTTGGTGATAATTTCATAATGAAACAAAAATAACATGGTGTATCTCATTGAAGCGTTAGAAGTTCGAGTGCATAATTTTCTTTACCCTGCATAGATTACTAACCGTACAAATCACATAAATATCTTGATCAAAGTTTGCAAAAGTGTTTCCATGAACTAACTGGGACTGTTAGCCTAACTGATTGTTGCCAGATGATTATTATAAATGACTTGTCTGGTTGCATGTAACTGCATGTTTAAAAGACCAAATAAAATTCTCATTCTCATTCTCAATCATGAAATGTCAATGATAATGACACAAAAAATTAGTTATATCGGAGTTACTGATGAATGAATTGAGTTATTTTAGTCTTCGGCTGCTCTCCAGTTAAGTAGTTCGGTAAATAGTAGGGAATCAACTTCTATGACGCGTTTTAGTCAGGGTAGGTAAAGATGGAAATTATAAGACTTAACGGCACATTATGGGATAAACTTTTCTATTTTGAGGTATTTAAGTTTATTTACTAATTGATTAAATCCAGCTTAAGGAGAATCGGTCAAAATCAATTACTAAAGGTTTTTTAATATTTAATAATATATATATGAATATTTTCATCACATTATCTTATTTTCGTGACGTTCCAATCCAGTGAGCTGAAACCCTCCTGGACTGAAGCTGTTTTAGGACTTCGTCCTCTTCAGCCGAGAATCATCACATCTTTCCGTGTGCTCAATCCTGTATTTTTGTTTTTTCTGAAAGGTTTGTGTACAGGTCTTAATATGTTCTTGGTAATTTGAAACTAAGGAAGTGATGGTGAGTCCGTAGCTTATATTAAGCAATCCACTTAACAAAGTAAAAATTAAAGTAAACTACGATACATTTATAAGTGGAACATATTTTCTATTTTGTTACTCGAAAACCACTAAATTCTTTGATTTACGTGAAAGTAAAATAAACGTTAGGTTACCATGGAGCTGACGAGTACAAAAGTTTTACAAGTTTCTAATTATTATCATGGTACATGACAAATTTTATGTTTTATTTATCAGCGAGTACATAGCATGAACACAAAGTGGTTAAGTAGCTACAATTTAGAAACTGCTTGTTGTCGGTCAAGAGGAAACCTCCTGTATAATTAAACTTAGGTTAGTTTGGATTTTATTATTTCATTCAATAGTCTATACAGTATACATAGGTTTTTAATGGTAGACAACATGTTTGTTGACTATTACAGGCGATCTCCAACGAATACCCAAACCAGTAACCACACAAATCTTTCCTCATTAGTTTTAACATACAAAATTACAACCTTTTACACAATAAGGTGAAAAAAAACTCAACAACGATATTACGGTCCATAGTCAATGATACAAGCTATCGTCACCTTTCCACGACCATCCTTCACTTGTAATTGGTCTACAGTAAACAGGCTTTATTATGTAAAGTATATATTTTAAAAATACTTAAAATTTATTAAAAGTCATTCTTACTCAAGAAAATTGTTGTACTTTAAATTGTTATATGTATTTTATTAGGCTTATGTATTTACCGTTATTCAAAGGGGGTATAGCGGATAGCGAGCTGGTCTAATGTTTTATTCGGTCCCTGAGGTCCCGGGTTTAAATTCTGCCAAATTACCAATGGACTATTCTAAGCGATAATGCCACAACCCTTAGATCAAGCCTGAAGTAATGTGGAAAACAATGACTGGTTCGTGCCTAGCGTCCAAGGACAATAAAGGGGGTATAGCTTTAAACTGTTTCTTGGCTAATTATATATTCTACTTACAGGTTCAAGAAAACATGAACAGCCAAAACTTTAGTGTCTCGTCGAACGTGAGCCAGTCAGCAGACGGGCAGTATGTTTCTGAGGTGAAAGTGTCGGGTAGAGGGATTGAAGATACTTTTCAACTGGCCGGTAATGTAGGTGGCTCAGAGGTCACAACCACTGGAGAGGCGTTTCTAGTCGGAGATCCGACAAAACATGCAACCGTGCTTTTCTCTGACGAACCTTACACAGTGTATGTGATCAATCCTGACTCAAGCTATAAGAAATCGTATAGTCCAAGATATGGTGGTGTAAGAAGTATGGCTATACAATTGACTGATCCAGAAAGAGACGAAGTTAAAAGGAAAATGATGGCCTTCAGAGAGAGGTCAGTACGTATGTTTCAAGATATTACTGAAAATAATCGTCAATTGCAACAGTGGATTCAAAACCAGGCCATAAATGAAACTCAAGGATTGGGAGGTCACCTTCCGGGCAGCGGTTTACAACCTTATCGACCTATTCTACCCCCCGCCCCCCCTAGTCCACTATTCTATAACAACCATACGCAGTTGTTGTCTAACTACGTTTCCCGATTGAGTGACTACAGTAGACAATTGCCTAGATATATACCTCAAGTGCCTAGCTACTATCCACAATCCTACGGCTACACTCCACAAACGTATGGCTACAATTCTCTATTGCCCAGCAACAATCCACAATCCGTTCGTTACAATCCACAATCCTACGGCTACACTCCACAAACGTATGGCTACAATTCTCAATTGCCCAGCAACAATCCACAATCCGTTCGTTACAATCCACAATCCTATGGCTACACTCCACAATCGTATGGCTACAATTCTTTATTGCCCAGCAACAATCCACAATCCGTGCGATACAATCCACAATCTTATGGATACAATCCACAGTATTATGGATACAATCCACTATCGCCTGGCAGTCAACAACAAGGAGGGATTAACCCCGCATCTAGCACTTATCCATATCCAACGTCTTCAAAGAGTCTAAGTGATTGTAGGTGTTGTACATCAAACTATTATTTAAACAATTAAACTGATTTGTATGAAACAATTTGAAGAAATCAATAGCTGAACACCATTGCTTTGGAATGAAAGTTAAAGTTAAAAACATGAATTTTACGTACACCTATTTGTTGATAATATAGAAATTGGGTAAATTTTATCAGTCTATTCATTACTGGTTACTGAAATGTGGTGCGAATTTCGGTTCTCTTTTATAGGTGAACTAAACATAGAATAAACCCACTCACAGTTAACGGAAACCTTTTTGTACAGTACATCCCAAATTATATAGTTTTCTTTGTTTCTTCAGGAAAAAACATTTCTATATACAAAGCTAATAAGGATAACAAACTTTTGAGAAACCCGTAAAACACACACCGAACAAACCGCAAACTCGAATGAAATATCTCGATGAGAAACATCGATGAAAAATATAGGATTCTTTTATAAGCACTTGTGTTTAATGGCATTGGAAATATTGAAGATTAGTAAGATGACTCAACTGTTACATTTTTCTTGCATTTAATTGTTTGTTTACCTTTTTTCCTGAGTTAACTTTTGGATTTTTTACAAATCTACATTACACAATGAAGAAAACGGTAGGCCTATGCACGAATAATGAAGGTATTAGTGACGTACGATTAGGTTCGATCGGAAAGGAATACAATTACGTTTGTTATCCATAGTATTTGAAAATCGATACAGCGATTTTAAGTAGATTTTAAACACAAACAATAATGTATTTCCGTGTCATTATCCCGTTGTGAAGAACGAAAATGTGATTTTGAAGTTTTACATATGCAGTAAATAAATAAACAATATCTATATAGTTTGTTCACTATGATTAATTTTATTTTTTATTCAATTAGGTAATTTTTTGAGATATTTTTACATAAGATGCGAAATCATAGGATTTTCTATTGACTAACTTGGAATCTTAAACCTAATTCGCAATTGAAACGTTCAAGGGCGTCTAAACTGATTCGATTATATCCCTGGTTATGAAGCATTACTTTCATTTTCAAATGTACAATCTACAATTAATACTTTGGATGTAACATATGATTAACCAAACGAATTTTGAGGTAAATTATTAGATACATGCTTACAGGCCTATGTCAACAGTTCAACAAAGTTTCGAGGCCAAACTCACGACATATTTCACCTATTCATGTTTATAAATTTGTAATTGTCCAACTAAACAGCTCGTGACTACTTTATACATTTTAATAATTTTGAGTTATGTTTGGCAGTTTGATAATTAATATTTTTTAATCAAACAAACTAATTAAATTAAAACTATCTAGGTTATCTAGGCTTTGAGATCCTAGGATATTTAGCCTTATTTTCCAGACCAATTTGTGTGGATGGCTGGGACAAACATTTAGGCAAATTAGTTCAATTTAATCCTGGTTATTAAATAAAATTAAGTGGAGCACCACCTTATTGATTTTCTGTAGTTTTAGTTTTGAAATTCTTTTTAAGGATTTTTAATAGACTTATTACAAAATAAAAAAGTTAATTTAATGCCTGATGAATATAGTTTAAGCAAGGATCTTTCAGAGGTACATACTTTTTCATAGCAGTAGATTCATGTACAAAGTGGTTGGAGGTAAAGGAAACAAAAAGTATATCTAGTTTCTCCACTATAAGAATCTTAAGAGAAATGTTTCTACAAGAAGATTCCTTGACTTTACAAAGGGCGTATGAGTTAGCATTATCTTTCGAGATATCGAAACAAGGTAACAATGATATGTCATCACCAGCTATTGTAAATAAAATCAGTAAAACCACAAAAAACCCATCAAAATCCAACAGCTTTGTATCAATAGATGATTTGAAAGGCAAGTGTTTTAGGTGTGGTAAATCTAACCATAAAGCAAATGAATGCAAGCTACGCAATGCCACTTGTTTTACATGCAATGGTAAGGGTCATACTGCTGCTGTTTGTTTGAAGGCGAGTAAAATGAACAAAGGTAAGGCATTTCAAAAACAAATGGACTCTACGGATAAAGATTATTCCAGTGACAATGAAGAAACATATGGTACAAGTAATTCTTTCACTATCACTGAAGAGCTACAACTCAATTCTTTGTCATCCAAATTCAATGACAAATACTTAGTAACACCGCTTCTAGATGGGGTACAATGCTCAATGGAGTATGATACGGGAGCTGCTGTATCATCTATGTCATTAAGTACCTTCAAACGATTATTCCCACACAAGAAAATTACAGAAGTCCCAAATGTTAAGCTAAAAACCTACACAGGGGAATCGATTAAGTTAACTGGAACAAGTGAAGTTGAAGTTCAGTTAGGTTCAAAAACAATGGTAGGTAGAATTTTTGTTGTACAAAATAATGTTGATAATATATTTGGGCGCGAATGGATTCGTAACTTTGACATATATATTCATGACGTAAATCAAATGGCGAGTCCTAGTTCTTACAAGCAAAACACCCTAAAGGAAAATAATATAAAACAAGACATTTTTGACACATATGAATCCCTATTTACAAAAGAAGTAGGAATTGCACCAGATAAACAAGTCAATCTTCCATTAAAGCCTGATTCAAGACCCATTTTTATTAAATACCGTGTCCCTCCTGTTGCATTAAAAACTAAAATAGAAGACGAATTGTGCTTACTGGAAGAAAAGGGCATCATTTCAAAGGTAACCAATTCAGAATGGGGAACACCCATAGTACCTATATTGAAAGAAGATGGAACAGTAAGAATATGTGCTGATTATAAAGTAACTGTAAATTCCCAACTGCAAAATGATCACTATCCTATTCCCAGGATTGAAGAGATATTTGACAAGTTAAATGGAGGACAATACTTTACAACCTTGGACTTACATAAGGCGTATTTACACCTTCAAATGGACAATGATAGTGCCAACCTTCAAGCCATAAGTACCCATATGGGAGTTTTTAAGGTAAATAGACTTATGTTTGGAATAAAAACAGCTCCAAACATATGGCAACGCTACATGGACTCAGTTTTAACTAGACTGGAAGGTACTGCTGTTTTCTTTGATGATATAATAGTTCAAGGAAGGAGTATTGAAGAAACAAAACTACGCACGATCAAGGTGTTGGAACGTTTGAAGGAAAACAACTTGCACATAAACAAGGATAAAAATTCTTCGTCCTGTGTGATGCTTGAGGAGAGTCATTTGGTTTGTTTACCACTTGTGCATGTTTCTGTGACTCAGACTCTGAGGCTTCATCGGACTGTTCATTTAAAGATACTAGTGTAGAGCGCATTTGATCAACATTGCATTTAACCATTAAACCTTCAACTTCATAATGGCAGTTTCCTAATATTTTGACCACCTTACCAAATTTCCATTTAGGATGATTACTTCTGTAGTCTCGAACTTGAACGTTATCGCCAGTGCTAAAACATCTTAAGGTACCAACGCCTTCTGTGTCAGAGATCCTTTTCGCCTTTAGCAGATCAATTCTCGTACGTATACTCCGTTTAAACATCATCTCCGCAGGGCTTCTTCCTGTGCTTATGTTCATAACTTTACGGGTTTGTAGAAGGAATCTACATAGGTTTGTATGGATGTCTCCAGATTCTTCAGCCATTGCACTTAGTTTCCTTTTTAGAGTTTGTACATAACGTTCGCCTTGTCCATTTGAAGCTGGGTGATATGGTGCCATAAGTTTATGTTGAATACCATTGGATTCCATAAAATGTTTAAATTCATGTGAAATGAACGCAGGACCATTATCACTAACCATTGTACTTGGAATGCCGAATCTTGCAAACATTTCTCTTAAGATTCTTATAGTGGAGAAACTAGATATACTTTTTGTTTCCTTTACCTCCAACCACTTTGTATATGAATCTACTGCTATGAAAAAGTATGTACCTCTGAATGGTCCTGCATGATCTATGTGCACCCTTTCCCAAGGAATATTGGAGTTTGGAGTTTGGTTCATGGTACTTTTGAGGATCGTTTTTATTCAATGCACATGGTTTACATGAATTTACATAGTTTTCTATGTCAGAATTCACTGTAGGCCACCAACAATACTGCCTGGCTAGTTCTTTCATTTTTGTTATGCCTGTGTGAGCTTCATGTAGTTCTTTCAGAATAGTTTTTCGTAAAGTACACGGAATTACAACTCGAACTCCTCTAAATAAACATCCGTTTTCAATTGACAGTTCTCCCTCTAAACCTTTGTATTGTTCATGCTTCGTAATGTAAGAGGATGTCCTTAGGGCATTGTATATCAACTTTTATTCTGGATCGTTCATAGTTTCTCTTCTTACTTCATTACTTGTGACAGGAAGGGAATTCAGTTGTACTTGTAAAAGGTATTTGTCTGATACTGTTTCATCTAAGGTTTCTTGATGATCACATGTATTGTTAACAGGAAACCTTGATAGGAAATCTGCGCTGACATGATTCGATGCTTTACGATACTGTATTTCGTAGTCAAAACCTGACAGAAATACAGCGTAGTGTAACATTCGAGTGGCGGTTAAGGGTGGTAGGCATTTTGAGGGATGGAAAAAAGAAGACAATGGTTTGTTGTCGGTTATAAGTGTAAACTTTCGACCATAGCAATAATGGAAAAACTTATGAACACCCCAGTAGATCGCAGTCGCTTCCTTAATAATGTGGCTGTAATTTTGTTCTGCTTTACTTAATGTCCTTGAAGCAAAAGCTATAGGTCGTTCGGTTCCATCCGGCATCTTGTGAGATAACACAGCAGATAGTCCATGAGGCGAAGCGTCCGTTGCCAGTATCAGTGGTAGGTTTGGTGAAAATGTTGTAAGAACCCTCTCTGTTGTGATTTCCTTCTTAATGCCCTCAAAAGCATCATTACATCGTTTTGTCCATGTATAGGTTTTCTTCTTATGTAGGGAGTATACGTACGAGAATTGATCTGCTAAAGGCGAAAAGGATCTCTGACACAGAAGGCGTTGGTACCTTAAGATGTTTTAGCACTGGCGATAACGTTCAAGTTCGAGACTACAGAAGTAATCATCCTAAATGGAAATTTGGTAAGGTGGTCAAAATATTAGGAAACTGCCATTATTGTATATTAAACACCAACTTTAATAACAGTTATTTATTAACAAGTTTAACAAGGTTCATAATGTAAAGATGTAGTAACTCTAACTGAAGTCTTATTTTGTTTGTATTTCATTCATAATAAATAAAGAACATTTTATTTAATATTATCAGCTGATTGTATGTACAGGATATAATATCATTGTGTGGTTTCGCAGTCGGATATTTCATGTTTTAACTAGACCTAGACCAAAGTGATTATAAGTACCCGTTCCTGGCCATAATTGGTTCTTGGTACTCGTTACCAGTACCATCGGCACCTAACAAAACGTATTACCTAAGCATTTACAGTAAGTTGTTAATGACAAACACATACCTTCTTTTAACAAAATGAAAATGTTGCAACATTCAGCCAGCTAGTTTATTTTTTTGTTGGTGTATTTTGTAGCGAATGATAATTATTGGAAGTAGGCAATTTAAATAGCATTGTTAATCTTTCATGTGGATTAGTCTTACAGGCACCTTTCACCTCCGTTTCATAATTTGCTCCAAAACAAAAAAAGCTTTGATACTGACGAAACTCACCTGTTTTACTAGATTTAAAGCCCAATAATCAGGAACAGCTGAGTCCAATTTCAAACCATCAAAAGCTACTGGCTTTTCTCAGGATCATTCTGGCTACCTTTGATTGTTAGGTGAGCAATATAACCACTCAGCTGACTGGTTATTGCACTCGCTGACCAGACTCTACATTATATTGTGTTTAACTGTTTTGAAATATATAAATATGTCCCTGTCGCTGCGGGTTGAGTTATGGGACTTGAATAAACTAAAAGTTTTCAAAAAGGAATATCACGGGTCTACACGTGTTGTCAGATGTTATAAGTAATCATGTATTTTGTAGGGTGTCACAATTCCTTGTTTATACTGAATTAATTAATTGTGTATATGTAGGTTAAGTTAGAGGAAGTCAGATTTTTCTGTTTTTAACGGGGAAACTTTCGGCCAACCTCCTCAAAATTACATTTCGGTTAACTCCAGTGCTAAATTCTTCCCAACTAATTTTTTGCCATCTAATGTATTTTTTGCAGTTAAAATTAACATTCCAGTTTGGTGTTCAGTGTAATATATGTGCATAATTGACTGTGTTGCTATTTAAATATTTTTATGTTAATCTTGTGTACATTTTGAGCAGTAAGGGTTTTTGTCCGATCGTACTTCCTTAAAGGTAGCCTTTTGTTATTGATGCTGTAAAGTTTTTTTTTATGATTTCTATGGTAGGCCTAATTTAATAAAATGTTTGTTTTAATATCAAAATGTTTTAATTTTCATTAGGTCTAACCTTTATTCTGAGTATCCATTTATCTCAGAAATTTCACATACCAACTTGGCCCTAAATTTAAACCGCTGGTATGGCAGCAATTGTAAGTTACTACCAAAAAGAAAAGTAATTGTACTATGACTAACTATTTTATTCAAGCTTTTTACCCAATTGAAAATGTTTGTCACTAGTTGTTAAGGGCGCATATCTGTTAATAATATTTTAGAGTGTTGGTAATTAAAGGTTGTTAATCATCTTCCAGTTGTATTTATTAAACACCTGCAGATCTGATGAAACATGACATCTGGGTCTGGACACGATCTCGCTTGGATTCGAACCAGTAACCTTCAGATTTGAAGTTGAACACTATAACCACTCGGCTACCCAGACAATCATGATGAATCGCAACACGTCACTCACTGGTGAGTTGCTAGACTTAATGTCTATTTCATTAATTTTCTGCCTGAAAAGACATTATTGAGGGTAAATAAAGCTGTAGCAATGCTCGTCACACAAGGATACTTTAATGTGGCCTGCTTGGAATTGAGACTTTCCTGGATTTTTTAAGAAGAAGTGGATTCAGTAAAATCTGCAAATGTTTGCTCAAATGTTGTTGCAAATGTTTCTTTCTTTGCTCCAATCACCAACCTGTCTCCACCCTTCCCTTTGAACCAAAAAATAGGCAACTGCCCTTTTTCATCGATTTTGTATGTTTCCGCAGCCGCAATTTTGCGGTGTGTGTCTACATCCAGCTTAATAAAGATAACTTTCGGAAACTTGATGGCATATTCATTAAAAAGATTTGCTGTAGTTTTGGAAGGTCTATACCATGTCGCATAGAACTCTATCACGACCAGCTGTTTTTCCTGGTGAGCTTCATTCAACTTATTGTAAAAGTCTTCATCGCTCATCTCTGTAAGTAGGTTGTCTAGAACAAATTAAAATTGATAAGTATACTACATGCACTTTATATAGTTTTTACTTGAGTGATACAAGCATTTAATGAATCGGTTACTGTAAAACTAACCAAGCCACAATTGCAAATTAGAGGTAGGCTGATAAAACTGTAATAATTGTAATCTAAATTGTCTATGACAAGAAAAGCAAATCAAACCGTTGGTGATAAGTTTTGTTTTCAAATTAATGGACAACGTTTTATATCTTTTTATTGCATAATAAAAAAATATTTCCGATCACAAAATAACCTCTCCAAACTAATTATGTAAGAATAAAATAGATAATTTAATCTCACCAAGTTGTGGTTGTTGTGGTTCTGACTTTTCACTAGTAGTGTCGAACAACCGGGGGAGAGCACCAACCAGTTGAATGAGTAACAACTAAAAAATATTTAGCTGATGTACCAATGGGAAAAAAATTCAGCATTGAATAATGCACTTACTTCAAATCGTACACCACCTTAAAAGTTAAAAGTATTTCATAAATGTTGTCTATCTCAATTAATTGAAATACCTAACATTGTATAGGGTATCCCACAAAGAGGTTGCTATTTTTTATCAATATATCTGACAAATCGAACACGCTACAAACTTTAAACCCTACAGCTATATTAACTGAATAAATAAAAAGATTCTAGAGTCTCATTTGATTCCGATTAATCAGAACATAATAACTGAACATCCAAATAATGGTAGGTTAATGTTAATTGCATTTGCCAAATAATTTCAAAGTGTTTTTTAATGTTACTTAAGGAAATGAAATTAAAATACAGTAGGTAAGGTTTATCAAATAAATAGAAATACGCTTACAAAACGTACCATTATTTTGCAATTCCACTATTTCGTTTTGTTGCACCAGAATCGAATGAGACCCAGGGGATTTTGTTTATATATTTATTTACTATAGCAGTAGCCTTTAAATGTTGATGCGTTTTCCATATTTCTGTTTTGTCGATTCAAAAAAGCCTCTTTATGTGATACCCTGTATAATAATAAAATAAAAGTAACGCTTAACAATAGTATTGTCCATATTAGAAACATTTGCAGTCAAATAATTGCCACAGAGCATGTTTGCTTGTAAAATGTGTATATAAAGTAAAAAAGTATCAATGCATTCGTAATCTTCACTCATTTGCATCACACATGTTGGATGATATGACTGGGACGGTGGCGTCGTCCTGTAATATCCAGCTCATAGGAGGTCACGAATTGTGGATATTTATTGGCATGCACTGTGGATGCGATACTCCCTGGTGTGGATTGACGTCCGTATAAGTGAGTACTACGACTATACGCAGTGCTATCCTGATAATTAGATCAATTCGTATATACCACGCAAAAATGTGGTTCGGATTCCACTATAAACTGTAGCTCCCTTAGTTGGCATTAGCTGTATGGGCTATTAATTAACAGCTGTCTAAGGAATATGTCGACCTTAGTCACTAACAAGACTACAAGATCGCGCCACTCATTCTACACTCATCTCCATTGGCTTAAAATACCCACTTTGTATGGTCGCCATTAGATTGAAAAGTATCAAAAGATGAACCAGCTTTTTTATAATCTAAATTATGTTGTACTATAACAAACTTTAATTTTGGAGTCGGTTGCTAGACTTATAAAAGTTAAAATAAATATATTTTGTTAAAGGCATGGTATACAGGGTGTATCGAAACTCTCTCTCCAAACTCAGTGGGCATATTTCTTAGGTGAAAACAAACAAAAAATATCATGTAAACAAATGCCCTATCTCCATTTGTTTACCGTCTGTAAGTGTGTATGTATTTGTTACATAATTTCCAATAACTTTAAAACCACTAGAGGTAACAGTTTCGTATTTGTATGATAACAAATAGTAACTATTATTTCACTATTATAAATTTCTAATTTTGTATGATTTCGATATGGCGGCCATTTCAATTTAATTAGGCTTAATAAATCAACACCTATATGATTTATAAAAATCTACGAACGATAAAAAAGAAACAAATTTAACTCACTTTACAGAAATGTACAATGTTTATATGGTCAATACATAAATAACGGAGAAGATTTAGTTTTTATAAAAGTAAAGCCTGCCAATTTATTGAATTTGCTCATATTGTAGTTTTAATTTCAGAAAATTGTATTTTTCTGCATTATTTGTGTTATGACACTATATTATTTGTAAAATTCTGTAAAGTAAAATAAATTCCATCCTTTTGGTTATTAGTAACTATTTTTTATATCCTATGGTTTTTTAGTTATTAAGCTTAGAAAAATTTAAACGGCAACTAGTTTGAAATTATAAAAAGTATAAGCTTGATTATTTTCAAAAATAGTTAATAGTTCCTATTAATCATCATACACGTACCAAATTTGAAGTTGGTACCTCAAGTGGTTTTAATTTATGGGAAGCTATGTAAAAATACATTCAGACTGACGGAAGTATAACTAAGTGAGATAAAGTGTTTACATGGTATTTTTTGTTTGTTTTTATCTAAGGAACATGCCACGGTGTTTCGGGAGAGAGTTTCGAAACACCCTGTATAATCTAACAGTCTTTCTATAGAATAATGCCATAAATGAACCAGGCAGAGATTTTGGCTGTGATTTAATGATTGAGTGAAATAATAATGGAAAAAGTGATTAGATTAAATAAGTCGATAGTTGACTGTCGATGATGGAAGGTGGAAATTTCTAGTACATGAAGTTTTTACCCGAAGCCATTTGACATGTTAATTTTGGCAATGGAGTATGAATTAATGTACTGTATTAAAATGGTATTAGAATTAATTAAATAATCATGATTTTACAGTTTTAAAAGCATCTTGTAACTACTAACTTACCAAAAATGATAAATAGAAGATTAACATGCTCATAGGTCTGACACTGGCCTAGAGATCCACTGACTGACGCAGTTACAGAGGTCTGTAGCTCGGTAACATACAATTATACAGGTGGTATTTTAATTACAAGCAGATCACTGGGAATGAGGAAAATACACAGTAGCAGTAGAATTGAAAGATTAAAAATTTGTTACATTTTGTGAATTTCCCATAAAGGTAATAAGATATAAGAATGTTATGTGACGTAGATGTCATGGTAAGACATAGAGCCGGGGCCGACTTAATTTTACGTTTTGAGGTCCCTTGTTAACTATTAGTTCATGTTAAATGAGAACATGAAAAATTATCATTGTTTATACGGATAGTAAATAGAAGATACGTCAAATAACACTTAAAATATATATTTACGCTTATATTGTTAACTTACAAGACGGTATACAGGGTGATTGATATAGGTGTGCCAGACGGGGACAGGGCCATTTTAATCGAAGATGTTTGTGATTTTGAGGTATACGTAGCTGCATTACTTTTCTCGCTAAAAGTTTTCATCTGACCAAAAAATGAAAAAAATCCTCGCTCACTTACCTTTCATGTTTACATTGAGCAACCTTTTTATATTTTGCATTATTAAAAATTAATCATCTGCACAAACTAAAATTTATTTATATAGTAGCCTATTAAACATCAGTTTACGCAGAATTTAAATATGTAAATTTCATCCTGTCACAATTTGTGTTACAATTTAGACGAACGTGGAAAGCGACAGGGAACGCATCACTTCGAATAGTTTCGCGAACATTTCTACAAAACACATTTATTACCAACACACATTTATTATCAAAAATGTTCTTAATTAAGAAGATCATTGTTGTGAATTTTGCATGTTTGTCAACTTAACTTGACTTAACTTGTTGTCAACTTTGTTATTATTGTTGCTATTTATTGTTGTTTTTTATTTATTTTTGTATTTATTGTTTTCTCGTAGCTTGTTACTGTTCTGAATTGTATCACATTTTCATCTTGTTAGTTCCTTTAAATTGTATCTCTATTAATCATCTATGTATTGGCTCCAGCCGTTGAAATGATAAATAAATAAATAACATCGGAACCTCTCTTCCAGCATGTGTGAGTGTAATGGGTGTGTGTGTGTGTGTGCGTGTTATCGTTTCCTGCACGGACTGTACCCATTGTCACTTGGAGTTATGAAAACTTGGTGTTATAAACGCTTGGAGATATGAAACCTTGGACTTGTGATCCTTGCAATTCTGTACTTGGTGTTATGAAATCTTGTATTTTAATTTACTTGGTTTTATTTTAACTTGGTGTTATGAAAACTTGGTGTTATGAACGCTTGGAGTTAGGAAACCTTGGACTTATGATATTTTGGTTTTCATTTACTTGGAAATAATTCAACTTGGTGTTATGAAATGTTGTATTTAAAAGTACTTGGAGTTATGAAAACTTGGTGTTATGAACCTCACCCACCTAACAACCCCAGCCATTATTTTTATATATTTAAATAAATTGGGTCAGGAGTTAAGAGTTGAAACATTTGCAATTAACCCAAAGTAACCTAAGAAGAATGTGCAAAATTGATACAGTAATGATTTCAAATGATCCGCGTAATAGTAAATATTCACAATTATTAGTTTAGTTTAACTCGATCATGGTTCTTAAAAGTACATTTTCTTATTTTGTAAACCAAAGGTAATAGTAACAAATTTAACGAATAGAATATTTTAGGTACGAGCCTTGGCTAGTGTATTTAACATTTCTACTCGTGTCTTAAGGGCTTATTATGCGAGTTGCATACACTATTTTACCTAGGACCGTTTTTAACTACAAACAATCACTACTCATAACGTCTAAGAGTGGTTATGTTTTCATTTATAACCTCTCATTGCCACTGAATGTGATGCAACAACCCGTTGTGCCCGACGCTGAATTTTTATTCCAGGATTAGTTTTGCCAAAAGTGTTATTTGGAGGCTTCTGATTGGCTGAGGGAACACCATTACCGCAACGATACGGCATGATGCCATCGGCCTCGGTGGTATAGTGGATAGAGTGCCGGGCTGATAAACTGAAGGGACCGGATTCAAATCCCACCCGTGTCACTTTTTTTGTGTCTTAGATTTTTTCATTACCAGCAAGTTTGGTTGGTTTGGTTAGGTTATGACTGTTTAATTTTATAATTAAAACATTATAAAATTGAATTTGAGCCATTTAAAGTTTTATTTTATGAACAGAACTATTTTTTTCGGTTAAACCCTTATTAGATTTTTTATTATCAGCAAGTCTGTTAAGTTTAGTTAGGTTATAACAATTTAATTTTATAATAAAAACATATTAAATTGAATTTGAGGCATTTATAATTTTATTTTATGAACAAAACTAATTTTTAAATTAGTAAACCTTCATTATTGTCAATCAGAAGCCTCCAAATGACACTGTTGGCAAAACTAATCCTGAATAACAAATTGTGCGTCCTCAACCACTGACTCGTTGGATAATAATTAATTAAATTTACCTTAAGTTGAAAGTTCGAAGTATTACAATTTTACTTTTTTTCTCTTAATCCCTGATCCTCATTGATCCAAACTTGTACTGTAAAGAAACAAATTAATGTTGTTAAGTAAGTAAACAATACTGTTAAGTAAATCTTTTCAATTCTAAGAACTGAATTGAAAATAAAATAGTTTAAAAATGGTCAAAGGTAAAACTGTTCACCTCTATCTATTGTCTCTGGGGCCTTATTGACTTTTAATGTTTGATAAATATACAACATAAGTTGGGCTCCAAACCATGGGGCATTCCGTTATTAAAAAGCAGAAACCCGTTGGTGACAACCTGACCATGCAAATTAAAAATAAAAAAAATAACTAACTTAGGTTATCAAACTTAGGTTATTTGAAAGTGAGTGGTGCTACACTCGAACCACCCGCTCCTATCATTGTTAGTTAAAAGACTTAAAAAATGTTAAGTGTCATAGACAGTAAATACAAATTAAATGCAAGGAATCTGAAACAAAATAGGTTAACTAAACCAACTGCAATAAAACGATAAACAGTCTTTTAACAGCCACTGACTATAAAGATACTACGGAATGACGAGCAATAAAATTTTATCTGGTGTTAATGTATCGTAAGCGGACTAAAAACTTTTATTGTGCATTTACTAAACTTTATAGCCAGTAAATAGTTTGTGAAAATGTATACAATTAATCGATGGACTAGGAGATCGAATAAAACTGTTCGTGTGGGTCTGTGTTGTGTGGGTTTCAAAGAAGTTTTGCATTGGTTCTGGTTATGTAATTTTGTATTTTTGAATTTGATATGACTTAGTATGTGTTTAAATATTTAAAATCGATCAACATGGTCAGTCGTTCAGTCAAAATTAAGTTTAAAGATATATCTTAATTATTATTTCAAGAAAATATATATTATACATCAATTTAAGGGTCGACAGTGGAAAAAAAAAACCCATCTGAGAAGTTGGGTATTTTTTTTACCATTAAAGAAAAAAATTAAAGTATTGAGACGAAAACAAAGAACCAGGTTAAACATTCACCTTTTCATACCAATCTTCTCAACCAATTGAACAGTGAATTTAAAAGAAAATGATACGAGCCGGTTTCCAATCATTTTATGATTCGTGATCTGGATTTTAAACAAAGATCTCCCCTCTTTTTGTTAAACACGTTTCTTTTTTGGAATCAAATAGTTGAACCAATTTAAAGCACGCATTTCCTGTTTGTTTTATTTGAAATACAATCGTTATTCAAAATATACCCAACTACTAACTATGTTAATTAGATCCATACAGGAATTTTATGTCTTAAATATTTAATAAAATAAAAGTAACCTCAATTTATAAAATTATGAACTGGGGACAGTAATTTCCTTCAATATGTATATAGAAACCCTTAGTTAAAAAATAAACACACGTTTTAAACCCCTATTATGGTTTTATAAAGATGAGATCATGGACCCCTTGACTCCAATAGTCAATGGTTAAACTTAAAATCTACAACGCTGCATAATATTGTGAATATCTAGCCTAGCACTGATTTGAGGCGCGTTTACACCAAAGTTGACAACTAAAAGTTGACAACCAAAGGTTTGCAGCCAATAGCCTACAACTAAAAGTATTTGAGTAAAACTACCTAGCCGAAAACTTGATGGCAAAGAATTAGCAGGAAATGGTCAGTAGTGTCAAGGATGTCAAAGTCAGAACCCTTCCTGAAGATGACCCGTAGTGATTTTAAATATTTGATTTCAATGTTCGCGCATAAAGTCAAGAAACACGACACAAACTACAGGAAAGCCATACCTGTCCAAGACAAGCTAACAGTTTTACACTACTTTTATTTGCTACTGGTGATTCGTCTCGATTACACCTGGCTAAAGTCTTTGGTAATTGGTGGTATACAAACTCGTGACATCGGAGATCGAAGCCATGCGTTCTACTAGTTCCTTAAAAAAAAAAAAAAATAAAACTTAAAGTGGCCTTGTAAGATCTATCTAAGGAGGTTATCAATGCTTATGGGAATGATTCCATGTACATAGAATTGTAGTTAACGACTGTCAATGTGTTATATAATACTATTGACTATAAATAGCTGATTGATGTATAACACATAATACTCTCATTTAATTAGTTGGTAGACCATCATAAAAGATTACACCACGTGTTTGATTCAAATATTTACATTGATCGGGAAGTCTATTCTATGTATAGTCAATAACAATACTTAAAATCAGATGCAGTAGACCATTTTATGCGTTCAGATCGAATACAGTACTTATGTTTTATAAAAGATCATATTTATCAACAAACTAACATAACAAACTAATCCATATACCTTGAAAAGAAAAAAAAAACAACAAAAATACCAATAAAAAGGGGCTAGTTTAATTTAGTTGATTATAATTTACATCATTGACTAAATTTGTATTGATATGTCCCCTAAGATTAACAATGAAAATGGTTGAACGAAAATACTTGTTACAGTTGAAATCAAGATCTGCGAAGAGCTCGGAAAGAAAAGTTCCAAACTTTGACACTTTGGCAGTGGCTTTT